AGATAGATATAATCTCAGTAAATTAAATGATAATATCATATTTCTTAAACCATTAATCAATTTGTTATTATGAATTATCTTTTATCAAACTAAAATGATTAGATTCTACAAATACTAAAAAATGCTATATGACATACAAAACTCCAATTACAGCAGTGCAGATTGCAACTGACAATCCAAAGTCATGCATATTTGTATGTTTAGCAGTTTTACTATTTTCTGCAAATAACCATAACGCTATACTAAAAAATTAATATTCCATACAATAAGCAAAATAGGCCTCTTCCAAATTAATTACATGCAAAATAAAACTTTTCAACAATTACTACTCTTTTTGTTTCACCTAACAATAGTAAGGCATTCACAATCCTAATTATCTTGTATATAATACATCAAATTTATATTGGTCATAATTGAGTTTAAATTAAAAATATCCGATTTGAACCCATGAATAATGGACCAAATACAAAAAATGAGAATTAATATAAAATCAAGCATGGTGGCTAACTTTGAAACGAAGCCCACATCAATTTCCATTATATATTAATTATAAGTGAATAAATTAATAAAAATTAATTTTCAGAAAATCTATAGTAATAAATAAATTGCTTTTGCACTAAAGATAAAGTGACACCTTCTTTGAAGGAATAACCACTCCATCCTTAATAAAATCTATGATTTCATTATAATTATCAATCATCTAACGATTATAAATTTTATCAGTTAATATGTAAATCATATTTATTATGATATAGGTAAAATTGTTCAATCATTTTGATCATCATTCTCCTCTGCAATTTCTTCAGGATATTCACCTTCTCCTTCTTCGCCTTCTTCATTCAATTATTCAGGGTCAATTCCGAAAAGATGCAAGTTTTACTAAATTTTTGAAATATTTTACACTAAAGATTTCTCTGAATTGGTTATTTTCATTTGCAAGTTTTTCCACTTCTTCTTATAACTGTTGTTTTTCATCACTTAAATTTTAATACAAGGGCTTGAAATTTTCTATCAAATCTAAATTAGGTTATTTTATCTAAATTACCTTCTAATTTTCTGCAATCCTCATCTTTTGCTTCAAGTTATTGTTGTAAATTCTAAATCAATTGATCCTTATCATTATCTTGACTCTTTGATAATTTCTTATTTGATGAGAATTGATTTCTAGTGTTCCTACTATTGTTTGCTTATTCCTCTTGAATTTATTGAATTGCTTCTTACATATCTTGTAGTTACTATTGATATTATTCAATAATTTAGTCTTTCATATCAGACTCTTATTATAATTCTTCAATTTTTTTTTGTATTTCCTCCTAATGTATTATTTATATAATCAAATACTAAATTAAATTCTTATGCTATTTATTCTAACTATTATTCTTTTTCATTGTAAGCTTACTCAAGTTCGTTAAGTTAGGATTCATATTATTGTCTAACCTTATTGATTTCCTCCTGCAAATGTCTATTGGCTTGGTTGAGCTTCTGATTTAAATTTTTATTTTCATCCTATAATTATTGGAGTTTTTATTTATCTTCTCTATGTTTTGATTCGTAATCTTGTTCCAACTTAGACCTAATACACATCAAATTAATAGGGTTACAATCTCTTTTAGAAGTCCTTTTCTCTGTCTTTAGCCATATTCAACTCAGCCTTCAATCTTTCTGTTTATTATTATTCATCTTTCAATTAATTCATAATCGATTAGCTGGCTCTATCCTGTTCTTAAGGCTTTTGATTGGATGTATACTATTTTTTATCAAAACCTGAGTATTGCTAATCATATCTTTTGTCATGACTATCAACTTTTTTATCCAAATAATCGTGTTTCTTATCTGGATATTCAGGTTTCCTATTACATTCAATTTATATTCAATTTTTGGTTTTGCTTAAGAAATCTCATTTATGGAATAGAATGCATTTTCGAATTGAGTGTAACATCAATAGTTTTAGAATAATCAGGTTTTCTTGTTTCGCTTGACAAATAATCCTTTGTTGGCGGTTGGGCTTTAAATTCATTCTTTTTAATTTAATTTGATTGTTCGAGTTTAGAGGGAGCTGGTGCAAAATTCTGATTCTTTTGATACATTTCTATCTTAGGGAATTAGGTGTACCTTGATAGGGTATGATTTCTGTTTTGTGTTATTAGTCGATTGGACCTGTGCGATTGTGAATTTACGAATCACAGGAATAACATAGTCTGTAAGTTTGGCCGTAACGACATTAAGAACATTTGATAGTGGCTGGTCGTTGCTGACATTTCTAACACTTTACAAATAGAGATTGCATATTTGAATTTATGTTTATGTATTAAATTTTATTTGAATTTTCTATAAATACAGAAATATATATAAATAAATTATATTTATTGTTTTTAATATTTTATAGAACTTTCAAGCCCAGACTTGACCTCTAAATTGAATAGCTCTAGAGTTCTTCCATCCTTTTTTAAAGTGATTGTAATACACACCGTCTCTGACTGCATACATTTCCCATCTGAAATTTCATACGTCGAATATAATACCTAAGAGAGAGATTGTTTCTGTAGAATCCCCTAGTCTTCAAGTAAGCAAAAGGATAGATCAAAGCAATTCCAGTCAAGAACATATAGTATCTTACAGTCTTATCTGGTCTTTGGAAACCACTTCTTCTTTGCACAAATTAAATAAAGTTTGTGACATCAAATGCCATCTAAGGAGTTGATGCTGGAGTTCCATCTTCGTAATCAACAAGACCTATTCAAATCCAATTTTTATTCATACCATCGTGCAATTATCTAACCATACCAATTATCATGTGATCAAAATAGGGATTGTATGCCTTACCTTTAGGAACATCCAATCCTTAATAAGGCTTATAGTGGTAACCAGTCAAAATGTTGTAGATGTAATTGACACCTCCTGGTCTGAGTCTGATTTTGGAGAAATCTGTTGGCCAAACTCCGCCATTTGCATTTTTAGCTTAGTCTTAAGAAAAGTAGGGAGGGTAGATTCCTATAATAGTGAATATCAAGAGAATGAGTACTGTCGTGAATATATCTATCTCTTTCATCCCATTCTTAGTAGTAAAATTGCTTGAAATGATGATGAGCAGGATGAATGGTGAAATTGCTGACCAAGGCTGCCAATTCTAATTGCTTATAGACTTTATCCAATAACACATCATATTTCTTATACACTATTCCATGGCAATTGGCACAGTTTCTGGAGAAAACTAGAAATCTAAAGAATCAGTATGTCTTCATACCCTCTTCTAACACTTGCAGAGTCAAAAGTACCCAAAAATCTATATTATGGCCATGACATATGACCTCTATGAGTACCGACTTCTGTCACCTGCTCTTCGTAACCCTTGATACCCCAGAAGGCACCAATATCATCTCTATAGAGCCAGGCATGTACAGTGTTGTCCTTTTGGGTGATCAACATTCCAACTCCTAAACAAAAAAGAGCCTTCATTTTAAAAATATTTAATATCTAATAAGTAATATCTCTATTTATATATAATGTACTTAAACAACTTATATAATAACCTCATTTCTTGGCTTGGGCTTTAGGTTGAGCTTTTTAAGTTGGTTATGGAGCGGTTTTGGCTGGCACAGTCTTGGCAGGTGCTTAAACTGGTGCTTTCTTGGCATCTTTGGCTGGAGCAACCTATTTAACTGGAGCTGCTTATTTTGTTTACTTTGGTTGCTAATGGAGATCGAATGATAATCTTACAGTTGCTTATTTGGTGGATTCTTTGATTTCAGATGAAGCCTTTCTGTGTTTCTTGTGAGCCTCATGGACATCATGAGCCAACTTTTTATATGCTTCCAAAGCTTATTTTGCTTTAGTTCTTCTGGCTTATTCAGTCTTCTTTTGAATGGTCTTTCTTCTCAATCTTGATTCAGTGACGAGTCTTTAGATCTTTGGAGCCTTTTATCTCTTCTTTCCGTCTTTAGTGGTCCAAGTTCTTCTGATGAGATTCTTTTAAACTATAGCAACACCGTCAGCCTTTTTGAATCCAAATAATCTTCTCAATTTGGTCAATCTCTTTGGACCCAATCTTCTTGGGACATTTTGATCTGTAAGTCCAGCAATTTCATTTGCTCCCTTCTTGACGACTTATAAGGCAAGGACTCTAATGTCTTAACCGACAATGCATCCTCTAATTGATTTTCTCTTCATTTCACCGTCTTTTCTTGGTCTGTAACCTTTGTGACCCTTTCTCATGAGAATTCTCACTCTGCCCTTGAATAAGACACCTTGTCTCATTGGAAATCCTTATTTGTCATTACCACCAGTGATTTTCAACACATAGCCTTTGTATTCTTCACCCAAATTGTCAGCT